ATCTGCTGCTGCTGGGCATGTAAGATCACTCTCAGGGCTCCCTCTTCACTATACACACCAGCAGGGCCCGGAACAGCACATATATATAGCTGTACTCGCTATATGTATGTGCAAATAGGCAGCTCGGGCTCTGCTTCCTAAAGGTACAGGGGCTGCAAAATGTCGCCCCTGTCACGGTGCCACCTGGAGCCATTGCCCCACTGGGGCCAATGGACGGGCCGGCCCAGCACAGCAGTGTCATATCTCCTTGCGGCCCACGCTGCACCGGTCCCACCGTCCGGTCTGCTTCTCCAGGCTCTGCCGGCTTCTGACTGACAGTGCACCCACGCGCCCGGGTGCACGCGCGTGGGCCAGGGACGCACGCATGCACGCGCGGCTTACCGCTGAACTCTTAAAGCGAAACTACCATTATTGCATGAATCCTGGTAACCCTTTAATAATCTCTTCTATTCTTTTCCCTAGCCTATCAGATCTCTCTTAGCCCTATTTATACCTCCCTCCTACATCACTTCCTTGCCCTGTCGTGGTCTATTGTAGCCCGAGAGTGCATTCTGTATACTTGTGTGTTTCCTGGTATCTGACTTCGGCTTGTCTCTGGTTATCCATAATTCCTGGCTTCCTTGACCCTTGGCTTTGTTTCTTATTTATTCTTCCTTCTCCTACCCTGACCTCGGCTCATCTGATTATTCTGTTACTCTCCTTACTTTTTTTCACGTTAAGTCTGGCCACTTTAAGGACCGGTAATACGTCTAGCTTGGGTTGCCTGTTAGTCCTATAGTTAGCGTGTTGGGGAACCTAACCTTGACATTACGACAGGGCCATGGACCCTGCAAACTTGGGACAACAAATGGCAGCCTGTGAATGCAGAATGGAGGGTTTGGATCATATAATGGATCAGTTTGCTCAAGCACTGCAAACTATCTTTACAAGAACCGCACATCTCCAGCAAGAAGGAGAGGGGGCTGGCGCTCAAAGCACTGTATCTTTACCATCCACACCTCATTCTAATGCTTTGATTCACTTAACTTCAAGGATATAATCTTTCAATGCAGGGTAATAACTGCATGATCCAAAGATAAATCTGACTGCCATTCTGGGGTCAAGAATGATTTTGTTTCCTAGCTTGTTGCAAAATTGTGCTTCAAACTGGGGTTTTTTTGCCTTCTTTTGGATCAACAGCAAAAAACAAATGGGAGGAAGGCCAAACTTGATGGATGCAAGTCTCTTTTCAGCTATGTAACTATATAACCCCTCCTCCCCTTTACTCTGGGGATCCGTCTTTATGCAGAGGTTTTCTGAACCAAGTGGGAGTACATTTTTCCCACGATAGATCCAAAATAGCTTTTATAATGAATCTGTTAGATGGAAAAGCCTTAGCCTGGATAAATCCTCTATGGGAGAGGGATGATGCCATCGTATATGATCTTGATCTATTCCTAAGAACTTTTAAAAACGTATTCAACCCTCCGGGTAGGAAAAGATTAGCCACAAAGGCCTTATTATAATTAAAACAGGGTTCCAGATCAGTGGCTGACTACGCCATTGAATTCTGTACCTTAGCTTCTGAACGTACCTGGAACAATAGTGCACTGACAGCTGTCTTCTTTGAGGGACTTACAGAATCATTACAAGATGAGGTGGCAGCCAGAGATCTACCAGAAGACCTTGAAGAGTTAATTCAATACATGTCAGATATTGACATAAGAGTCAGACAGAAACTTCTCCATTTAGAGAGGCAAAGGGTTCTAGGAAAAATCACACCCCATCCTAAGCTAACTGAACTCCCTGCCTTACCAGCACCTGATCCTGATCCTGAACCTATGCAGTTGGGTAAAACCAGACTTTCTGAGGCTGAAAAAACTTACAGAAGGAGAAAGGGGATGTGCCTATACTGTGGCAAGAAGGGGCATCTACGTAATAATTGCCCATCCCATCCTGAAAACTCCACTGCCTATGATCGTTCAGGGGACTTGTCCCCTAAACCTCCTACATACAGGTGTCTTATGCCTGTAACCCTTTCTTGTGGAAAGGTGTGTCATCAAGCTATGGCCCTCATTGATTCTGGTTCTGCTGACAACTTCATTGACCAGACGTACTTGTCATCTATTTCTCTTCCGTTTGAGAGGAGAAATACACCCTTGGCCGTTGAGGCCATAGATGGTAGACCTTTAACAGTCCCATATGTGACACACCAAACTAAGACTGTTATCTTGTTAGTAGGGGCTATGCATAGAGAAAACATAATATTCTAAGTCATTTCTTCTCCTTCTTGCTCTCTAGTTCTTGGTCTAACCTGGTTACAGAAACACAATCCTGTTATAGACTGGAGAGAAAGACAGGTATTATCTTCGAGTCCTTGTTGTATGCATACCTGCATTAACCAGGTTAAAACACTCTGTTCCCTCAATACTCCTACCTCTCCAGTTTTTGGAGGTTTGGTTGTTGTCTAATCTGTAGACAGTTCTCTATCTTGCGGCAGGAGATTGTATTTTTGAAGTCTGAGATTTGTAAATTATCTGGTGAAAAAACTCAGACTGGAACTGCTGCAAAGCCACTGCCGCAGAGACATGCTAGGAAAGGCAGATGGATTACTGTAGGATCTGGTAGACTTAGAGTTGTGGATAAAAGGCATTTTGCACAGTCTGTTGCTCTTCATAATTCCTTTTCTGCACTTTCAGAGTGTAATGGTGTTGTGGAGAGAGGCACTGAGGCTAGTGGTGTTGTGGAGAGAGGCACTGAGACTAGTGGTGTTGTGGAGAGAGGCACTGAGACTAGTGGTGTTGTAGAGAGAGGCACTGAGGCTAGTGGTGTTGTAGAGAGAGGCACTGAGGCTAGTGGTGTTGTAGAGAGAGGCACTGAGGCTAGTGGTGTTGTGGAGAGAGGCACTGAGGCTAGTGGTGTTGTGGAGAGAGGCACTGAGACTAGTGGTGTTGTGGAGAGAGGCACTGAGACTAGTGGTGTTGTGGAGACCGGCTTGGAGAGTATGGTGAAGCCTAATAGAAAGCAGTTGTTGTTGGGTGATTCCATTATAAGAGGTGTGGAGATGGACAATGGTGGTCTTGTGAGGTGTCTCCCCGGAGCTACTGCTCACAGAGACAGGAGACGTATCTGTAATATTGTTAAGCAAGCAAAGCAGGAAGGGGAATTGGATGTACTTGTCCATCTAGGGACAAATGACTTGGCTTGCAATGAGGTTTCAGAGGTTAAGGAAGTTTTTAGTGTTTTTACCAATGATATACGGCAGGTTGCTTCCACACTGTCATTCTCTGAAGTTCTGCCTGTGCATAACACTCAGAACGACAGGCGGATGCATATTAGGGACTTTAATTTGTGGCTTGGTGAATGGTGTCGGGAGCAAGGATTTGGCTTTATTTCTCATGGTAGCTCTGTTTGGAATGGAGATAAGCTGTACAAAAAAGATGGTTTGCATCTTTCTCAAAAGGGAACAAATGTTCTCATTGAGCAGTTCAGAGGTTTTGCTAGGATGTATTTAAACTAGGAGGGGGGGGGCAAAAGGGTGATAAAACATCAATCCAATTGTCCCCCAAAACAAGGACAGAAGGTGCCTGTAGCAAGTGTGTTAAAAAATGATAAGCTTAGAGTCATGTCTACAAATGCTCGCAGTTTAGGGAATAAGATCCATGAACTTGTGGCAATAATGGCAACTGATAGTGTAGATTTAGTAGCTGTTACTGAGACATGGTATAATGAGAAAAATGACTGGGACATAGCAATACCAGGGTACTCTTTATATAGAAAAGATAGGGAAGGCAAGAAAGGGGGAGGGGTGGTCTGTATGTGAAGGATAGCATAAAATCTAGCCTAATAAAAGTTGGTGAGACAAACATAGAGTCCGTTTGGGTTACGTTAGAATTTGGTAATCACACAGTAACTCGTGTAAGTGTGATTTATAGGCCCCCAGGACAAATTGAAGAGTTAGATAATCTACTAGTTGAGGAAGTAGCTAAAATGACAATGAAGGGGGAAGTTATCATCATGGGTGACTTTAATCTTCCTGATGTAAATTGGAAAACAAAATTAGCTACTTGTGCCAGGAGCACACATATTCTAAACTCCCTACTGGAGTTGTCTCTAAAGCAAGTTGTTGAGGAGCCAACTCGTAAAGAGGCCATACTAGATTTAGTGTTAACAAATGGAGATTTGGTATCAGATATTACTGTAGGTGAAAGTTTAGGATCCAGTGATCATCAGTCAGTGTAGTTTAATATAAGAACAGTGACTGAGTCACACCACACAAAAACAAAAGTTTTAGACTTTAGAAAAACAGACTTTTCTAAAATTAGAATATGTGTAGAGGAGTCATTATCAAACTGGAGCAATTTAAATGGAGTCCAAGAGAAATGGGATTATTTAAAAGTTGCACTGTTGAAGGCAACAGAAAATTGCATTAGGCTTGTCAGTAAAAGCAAAAAATTCAAGAAACCACTGTGGTACTCGCAGATGTGGCCAAAATAGTTAAAAACAAAAAGTTAGCATTTAGGAATTATAAAAAAACCCAGAGTGAGGGAGACAAAATGATCTATAAGATTAGGCAGAAAGAGGCTAAGCAAGTTATAAGAGCTTCCAAATCACACACAGAAGAGAAAATAGCACAGTCAGTAAAAAAAGAGGATAAAACATTTTTTAGATACATAAATGAGAAAAGAAAAGTAAAACAAGGATTAGTTAGATTAAAAACAAAAGAAGGAAGGTATGTAGAAGAGGATAAAGGTCTAGCTGACTGCCTCAATGAATATTTTTGTTCTGTATTTACAGATGAAAATGAAGGAAAGGGACCTCAGTTGAGAAAAAGGATAAATGAGTCATTTATTACACGTGAGTTTACAGAGGAAGAGGTTCTATTTCAACTGTCAAAAGTAAAGACAAATAAGTCAATGGGACCTGATGGAATACACCCAAAGCTATTAAAGGAGCTTAGTGGTGTACTAGCAAAACCATTAACAGATTTATTTAACCAATCATTGTTAACAGGAGTAGTCCCAGAAGATTGGAAGTTAGCGAATGTTGTGCCCATTCACAAGAAAGGTAATAGGGAGGAGTCGGGCAACTATAGGCCAGTAAGCCTTACTTCAGTAGTGGGGAAGTGATGGAAACCATGTTAAAGGATAGGATTGTTGAACATCTAAAAACACATGGATTTCAAGATCAGAGACAACATGGGTTTACTTCAAGGAGATCATGCCAAACTAATCTTATTGATTTTTTTGATTGGGTAACTAAAATTATAGATCAGGGTGGTGCAGTAGACATTTGCTTACCTAGATTTCAGTAAGGCTTTTGACACTGTTGCACATAGAAGGCTTATCAATAAACTGCAATATTTAAGTTTGGATTCCAATATTGTTGAATGGGTAAGACAGTGGCTGAGTAACCTTAGGCAACAGAGGGTTGTAGTTAATGGGTATATTCAGAGCTTGGACTTGTCACCAGTGGGGGTACCTCAGGGATCATACTTGGACCCATTCTCTTTAATATTTTTATTAGTGATATTGCAGAAGGTCTTGATGGTAAGGTATGTCTTTTTGCTGATGATACTAAGATATGTAACCCAGGGTTGATATTCCAGGAGGGATAAGCCAAATGACAAATGATTTGAGTAAACTAGAAAAATGGTCAGAGTTGTTGCAACTGACATTTAATGTGGATAAGTGCAAGGTAATGCATCTTGAATGTAAAAACCCAAGGGCAGAGTACAGAATATTTGACAGAGTCCTAACTTCAACATCTGAGGAAAGGGATTTAGGGGTGATTATTTCTGATGACTTAAAGGTAGGCAGACAATGTAATAGAGCAGCAGGAAATGCTAACAGAATGCTTGGTTGTATAGGGAGAGGTATTAGCAGTAGGAAGAGGGAAGTGCTCATGCCATTGTACAGAACACTGGTGAGACCTCACTTGGAGTATTGTACACAGTACTGGAGACCGTATCTTCAGAAGGATATTGATACCTTAGAGAGGGTTCAGAGAAGGGCTACTAAACTGGTTCATGGATTGCGGGATAAAACTTACCAGGAAAGGTTAAAGGATCTTAACATGTATAGCTTGGAGGAAAGACGAGACAGGGGGGATATGATAGAAACATTTAAATATATAAAGGGAATCAACACAGTAAAGGAGGAGACTATATTTAAAAGAAGAAAAACTACCACAACAAGAGGACATAGTCTTAAATTAGAGGGACAAAGGTTTAAAAATAATATCAGGAAGTATTACTTTACTGAGAGGGTAGTGGATGCATGGAATAGCCTTCCAGCTGACGTGGTAGAGGTTAACACAGTAAAGGAGTTTAAGCATGCGTGGGATAGGCATAAGGCTATCCTAACTATAAGATAAGACTAGGGACTAATGAAAGTATTTAGAAAATTGGGCAGACTAGATGGGCTGAATGGTTCTTATCTGCCGTCACATTCTATGTTTCTATGTTTCTATGTTTCCTCCACTCTCCACTGGTATACCTCCTCAGTATATGGATCTCAAGAAAGTATTTGAAAAAGTGGAGGCCGATCGTCTACCCCCTCACAAGCCTTACGATTGTGCCATCAAACTCCTTCCAGGTACTATGCCACCTAAGGGAAGCGTTTACCCTCTATCTCAAATTGAGAATAAAGTAATGGAAGAATATATACAAGACTCCTTAAGAAAAGGATTTATTAGACGTTCTTCCTCCCCTGCAGGGGCCGGTTTCTTTTTTGTTTCGAAAAAAGAGGGGGATCTTCACCCCTGCATAGATTACAGGGGACTAAACAGAATTACTATTGAGAATGCTTATCCCATACCATTGATAACAGAGCTTTTTGACATAAAGTTTAATGGGATTGTTGCCCTATGTCAAGATATTTAGTTAATTTAATTGAACAATTGGACTTTTTCAATTGAATTAGTGATAAACCAATCATGAGGGATTGTTGCCCTATTTAAGCCCACAACCAAGATGAAGGTTGTGAGCACGTCCTGAGGAAGCCGATTGGCGAAACGCGTTGACATCATACAAAGGGGGAGGAGCTTACAGACCACGGAGTCCGGAGGCGTTTGTTTTCTGGCAGCAAACAATACACGAGGAGATTCTCTAGCAGCCGAACAGGAAGAACGCCGGACGAGCAGCCTACCACCCTAATGATTGAACTCTGATAGTGAGTTGACATATATGTGTCAAACTCACCACCTTATCTAGTAAGGGGCTTGTCACCCTATTTTTTATCATCATTTTTTATTATTCTATTTTATGTATATATGTACTGCTTTTTCTGCATGTGGCAGATAATAAATTTATGTCAGCTTTTTCCTATTGGGGTTTCACCAAATATTTCTTAAAGTGATACTTCACAATTTATGAATTGTTATAAGTATATATGCTTATATATTTTTTATACAATCTGCACTATCATTGCTTTTTTTCCCTTTTTTCTTTACATATATACCATTATTGCTGGAAGTTACACTTAAAATCGAAACCAGTTTGTATATATATACTCTTTCTTCTGTCTTATATATGGTATAAATTGCTCCACTCACTAGCACACATTACTTTCTCTTTTTGGTGGAGTTTTGGGATTACACCAGAGTGTGAAGCAATTTTGAAAACAATTTTGAAAACTATTTAGCACCCAGGTTACATCTGTTCGTAATAGAGAATTATTGGCTATAATTTTTGCACTTAAAGAATGGCGTCACTTACTGGAAGGGTCCTCGGTACCCCTCATGATTCTCACTGATCATAAGAACTTATCATATCTAAGTGACTCTATCCACCTAGACTGAGAGATGAAGTATTTCGTGACTATCATGATAGTAAGATGGCCGGACATATGGGAGTGTCCAAAACTATTGCATTGATTTCCAGACAGTTCTGGTGGCCATCCCTCAGAAAGGATGTGAAGGCCTATGTATTGTCTTGTAATATATGTTCACAGTCTAAACCTTCTCATCAAGTTCCAGGTGGCCTTCTGCATCGTCTTCCCATGCCGTCTGTTCCTTGGTCACAACTGTCTATGGATTTTATAGTCGACTTACCATCTTCTAAGGGTTTTACAGTTATATTGGTTGTGGTAGATCACTTTTCTAAAATGGCACACTTCATCCCATTAAAAAAGTTACCGTCTTCTGCTGAGTTAGCTAAAATATTTATTAAAGAAATAATAAGATTGCACCGTATTCCTGATGTCATCGTATCAGATAGGGGTTCACAATTTATCTAGAAATTCTGGAGGGGTTTTTGCAAAGATATGGGTATTAAACTCAACTTTTCCTCTGCCTACCATACTCAAACAAATGGTGCTGCTGAACGGACTAATCAAAGTCTTGAGCAATATCTCCCTTGTTTTACATCTCAACTCCAGGACAACTGGGCGGACCTTCTTCCTTGGGCTGAGTTTGCTAGAAATAATGCTGAACATTCTGCCTCTGGCCACAGTCCCTTCTTTGTTACATATGGTCGTCATCCTAATTTGCTTCCTGCTTCATTCTCTTACAAGGGAATGCCTATTCTGGATGATCACTTATCTTCTATACGTGATACTTGGGCAAAGGTTCAAGCCATCTTGGAGAAGAGTGTACTCTCACAGAAATCTTTTGCCGATAGGCACCGTAGAGCGGCACCTTCCTATCTTCCGGGTGACCGGGTCTGGTTGTCTACTCGTAATATCCGTTTACGTGTCCCTTCCATGAAGCTAGCCCCTAAATATGTTGGTCCCTACAGGGTTCTTCGGAGGATCAATCCGGTATCCTATGCTTTTGACCTGCCGAAAAACCTACGCATACCCAACGTCTTCCACAGATCCCATCCTGATCCTTCTCCCGTTTTGGTGCATGGTCAGGAGGAGTACGAGGTTCAACACATTCTTGATTCTCGTCTCTCACGTGGGTCGCTTCAGTATTTGGTCCATTGGAGAGGCTATGGTCCTGAAGAACGCTCATGGGTCCCTGCTTCTGAGGTCCATGCGCCATGGCTTCTTCGTGCGTTCCATGCCAGGTTTCCTTCTCGCCCTTCTGGTTTTACTCCAGTGGGTGTTCCTGAAGGCGGTGGTTCTGTCATACATCTTCGTGGCCCACGCTGCTCCGGTCCCGCTGTCCGCTCTGCTCCTCCAGGCTCTGCCGGTTTCCGACTGACAGGGCATGCTTTTTTTTGTATAGTCCATATACATTTGATTTTGGTTTTTTTAGCTATGCTCAAATGATACCATGTTGCGGTCATTTTTCCGAAGTGCTCCCTGAAAATCAGTCAACATTATTAGTTATGACATGATCCAGACAAGAATCTATTCTAGACATGAAACTATCATTTAGCAGGTTCACAAACCTGTTTTTCTTAACAGTACTATTAGTCCCTCTGGCCCTAGCAGAGTCTGGATAATTAAAATCTCAGATGATTAACAAATTACACAGATGTGCAACTTTAATAATGTGAGGTAGAGTTGCTATTCCCTATCATTAGTGATGTTTGGGGGCTTGTAACATATTCCTACTACTAATGGATATCCTTGGTTTTCTCATATGCATGTTTCTACCCATAAGGCTTCCACATTCTCACCAGTATCATTACGTACAATTTTTTTGACACTGGGCTTCAAATCAGGTTTAATATAAAGGCATATGCCGCCCCCCTTTCTATTTATTTTTGTTAAAAATAATGTATATTCATTTTAATTAGTAGCCCTATCAACGGTTTCATCCCACCAAGTCTCAGTAATACTAATGATGTCATACTGCTCCTTGTATGCTGATATCTCAAGCTCCCCCATTTTCACTCACGTCTTGCATTAGAAAGCAGATATTTCAAGTTACCATTTCTTTCCTGAACTTTATTTGAACAATATGTAATTAATACCTTCTTGCTCTGTCTGCTAATCTTACCACTGTCCACAACCCACATCGACAATCTCCAGGACTTCAGCTGAATTCCCTCTCCTTTCTACATTATCTACCACATTTTATAACATGTTCTCCCAAAAACAGGTTACTGCTGGTCCTTAATTTATATGGTGTCACAATTAAAACAATTTAGAACTTTAATTTTATCATGTATTTTTAACAATTCTTAATTTTACCAGCATTTGATGTAACCATTTACAGAATAAAAATATAACAGGGAATTGCTGCAAAAAGCATCAGGTTTTCCTCAATTAGATGCATTTAAATATTCATGAAACTTCTAGCGTAATTATAATATTATCCGTTAGAGAGGAG